CAGGCTTAGTGTGATTCTGTTTATTTCACCTTACTTTAATGACCATCCGTTCACTGTTGTTGATCATTGTGAAGAGCGGGCAGACGTTTTCCTGTTGTTTTGTATTATAGCAGCTATCGGATCAATACATGGGCTACATGTGGCCATCACAAGTACAATCATAACGAAAACTACGCCGGTAAAATGTGCGTGTAGAAAACGGCTTTTGCCACAATATGATAGCAACAAGTAGTCAACATAGTCTGATTAGCTTCGGTTGCTATGCTAACATCACCTGTAGAATGCCAGAGAAACTTTCATAACCGCGTTGTGATGCCAAACAGCGTCAATTCAGACTGAAACACATTCACTGATGGGGATGGGGGACATTTATCAGCTGCTTGTGTGACAGTCAGACAGTGAATACTTTACAGCGGCCGCTGCCACGAGTTAACAGTAGAATAAACTCCGGTGCACGAGCAGCACTGCAGTGGTCGGTAAATGCCGCTGAAACACATTAATAAACAATGCACCACGGCACTCTGGAGAAAAGTATAAGGTTGGAGAAACCAGATTAATTTAAGAAACCAGATTAATTTAATCTGGCTTCGTATGATTAAAAACTACCCGACGCAGTCCTCTATTGATGTTGTTGTGAGCGGTGTTGCGGTGTTGCGGAGAAAATATAAATGGTTACGTCATGACGCAAACGATGACGCAATAATTCCCCTTTGATCCTGCATCTGTAACAATGAGTGGACCAAAGAAAAGAAAAGTCGACATTGAGTGCAGAGTGTTTAATGAGGAGTGGACAGCTAAATATTTTTTGCCCACCCCTGATCTAGGCCCTTTCTGTTTTGTTTTATGTATATGTAACCGGTGTGGTTAAGCGGTCTGCGTTGTGTTGATAATGGACGAGACCCGAGCCAGCGTAAATTTGAGACGATCTCTGTTTAATGACTGACAGATAAAAACGATCAGTTTCCCTCAGTGACTCCTCTCACGTGCAACGTTTACAAAAAGGGCTGAGGAAACGGGAGGGACACAATATATAGGGGGGAAAGTCCTCACAACAATGAACTCCTGAGCACAGCGACCACACTTCAGAGGCTCCGCCCACTGATCTCCGTCCATGCCAGGTATTTAACATTCAATAAAATGAAGAACACAGAATAAAATAATATAAAACACAGAATTTGTGTGATTATACAAAACAAAATTAAATAAACCCCATTGCATATTTACATCTGCTACATATATATGTCACACTGTGGGACTGCGGGAAACGATATCTCGAGATTTCTGGATGTATAACACATAATTTTGTAATAATTTTGACACTAAAGCTGACTTTGACTTTGACTTTGACTTATCACACCTCACACCACACATCAAAGGTCTATTAGAGGGGTTAATATCAAACCTACACGTTATCACACCTCACACCACACATCAAAGGATATCACACGTATATGTGATATCACATCTACATGTTATCACACCTCACAACAAAGGGGTCATTAGCATACAAAAGTGGGTCATTAGTATAAGTAGTAGTAGGTGTGACCTGTCACTTTTTATGCATACTAACAGGGACGGACTGGGACTGCAAATCAGCCCGGGACTGTCGATCGGCCCACTTCGGTACCGCTGGCCCACCTCGGTACCGCAAGTAAACTGCATACTAATGTGATGAAAGTATTATGAATATCACTACTCATATTGTTTTCACAGTGCTGTGCAAAATGAATCTCCCCCTGGGCACAATAAATCTAATCTAAACTAATTTAATATTCAATCCCACACATGGCGATTGAGAACATAAATTCGTAACTTTCCTCGTTTAAAGCACTTTTGTTGTAATACTATGGATTTAGTTGACACTACTAGCAGAGTTTCTTTTGTCCAATATCTCGCGGGCAGGTACATTGAATTAGAGGTAGAAAAAGAAGAAGAAGAAGAAGAAGAAGAAGAAGAAGAAGAAGAAGAAGAAGAAGAAGTAGAGGTAGAAGAAGAAGAAATACGCTAACGCTACAAAAAGGCACAACAGTGTTTCTCTGTTTTTACTGACATGTAACATTTTATTTCACCTTGCTCTATGTTTTTTAACGCACATTCAAAAACGGGAACATTTTCGGGAGTTTCAACCGGGTACCGGCCACCGAAAACGGGGACTTTGCCCGGAAAACACACATGCTAACATTAATTAAGACTACAAGCTCACTTGGGGTTGAGGCTTTTTTACACGTTGCTTGACTGCCTGCCCACATATCTGATCTAAACATAGTAACGTGTATTGGGGAAGATAATTATTTAAAGTTATTATTTAATAATTGTGACATTTATTGTACTTTTTGATGGATGAATGATGCTCAAGGTGAGGGGGCAAATAATACAACTGAGGGGGCAATGCCCCCTTTTGCCCCCTCGTGGCGCCGGGCCCGGTCTATTAGCACAAGTAAATGAAGCGCCAGGGTCTGTGGTTAACACAAGCTGAAGAGATTTTAGCGTAGTTAGTTCCTTTATAGCCCAACATTAGCCTCCTTTAGCTTAGCGGTGGTGACGTGAAGTCATGTGACCGTGCTGTAGTTCCTTTATAGCCCAACATTAGCCACCTTTAGCTTAGCGGTGGTGACGTGAAGTCATGTGACCGTGCTGTAGTTCCTTTATAGCCCAACATTAGCCTCCTTCAGCTTAGCGGTGGTGACGTGAAGTCATGTGACCGTGCTGTAGTTCCTTTATAGCCCAACATTAGCCACCTTTAGCTTAGCTGTGGTGACGTGAAGTCATGTGACCGTGCTGTAGTTCCTTTATAGCCCAACATTAGCCGCCTTTAGCTTAGCTGTGGTGACGTGAAGTCATGTGACCGTGCTGTAGTTCCTTTATAGCCCAACATTAGCCACCTTTAGCTTAGCGGTGGTGACGTGAAGTCATGTGACCGTGCTGTAGTTCCTTTATAGCCCAACATTAGCCTCCTTTAGCTTAGCGGTGGTGACGTGAAGTCATGTGACCGTGCTGTAGTTCCTTTATAGCCCAACATTAGCCACCTTTAGCTTAGCGGTGGTGAGGTGAAGTCATGTGACCGTGCTGTAGTTCCTTTATAGCCCAACATTAGCCACCTTTAGCTTAGCTGTGGTGACGTGAAGTCATGTGACCGTGCTGTAGTTCCTTTATAGCCCAACATTAGCCGCCTTTAGCTTAGCGGTGGTGACGTGAAGTCATGTGACCGTGCTGTAGTTCCTTTATAGCCCAACATTAGCCTCCTTTAGCTTAGCGGTGGTGACGTGAAGTCATGTGACCGTGCTGTAGTTCCTTTATAGCCCAACATTAGCCGCCTTTAGCTTAGCGGTGGTGACGTGAAGTCATGTGACCGTGCTGTAGTTCCTTTATAGCCCAACGTTAGCCTCCTTTAGCTTAGCGGTGGTGACGTGAAGTCATGTGACCGTGCTGTAGTTCCTTTATAGCCCAACATTAGCCACCTTTAGCTTAGCGGTGGTGAGGTGAAGTCATGTGACCGTACTGTAGTTCCTTTATAGCCCAACATTAGCCACCTTTAGCTTAGCGGTGGTGACGTGAAGTCATGTGACCGTACTGTAGTTCCTTTATAGCCCAACATTAGCCACCTTTAGCTTAGCGGTGGTGACGTGAAGTCATGTGACCGTACTGTAGTTCCTTTATAGCCCAACATTAGCCACCTTTAGCTTAGCGGTGGTGACGTGAAGTCATGTGACCGTACTGTAGTTCCTTTATAGACCAACATTAGCCTCCTTTAGCTTAGCAGTGGTGACGTGAAGTCATGTGACCGTGCTGTAGTTCCTTTATAGCCCAACATTAGCCACCTTTAGCTTAGCGGTGGTGACGTGAAGTCATGTGACCGTGCTGTAGTTCCTTTATAGCCGATTCTGGCTGGAGCGTTAATTAACAGCAGTTACATAACATCCAAAACGCACAACCGTGCACACTTCAGATGCACTTTGGTTCTTTAGAAAGAGATAGCACTACACCACTAATTACTAAGCATGATTATTCCTTACAGTGAGGGAATCTTATAAAGACACATTTTCAGTGAGCCTAAGTCTAGATGTACATTTATTAAATATATGATTTTTGTTTTTTACCTTATTATACTTTGGTAGCCTACATTACCTATAGCTGAATATTTTATATAACGTATATGGGACCCCACTTTTGGTCTTTCTCAATGTAAGTGTTTATATTTGAATGTACTTTAGTAATGTGTGTTTGTGTGCTGCAGAAATACTGCCATCAGGTGGATCCTTTGAGTTAAATTACCAAGAGGCAGAAGCATTGGACAACAACACAATATATACTGTGTGTATTTAAATATATATATATATAAATGTATATATATAAATATAACGTTTGCCAAAAAGTGACTTAGATGAAGATCAGATCACATTTAATGAACATTTGATGCATAAAACCAGGAAATTCCAAAAGTTACATACTTTTTATTGCCACTGTATGTGTTTCTATATATTTATATTTTTGTGTATATATATGTCGAATTAAAAAGTATATACAGTTTATGAGCGAGAGAGAGAGAGAGAGAGAGAGAGAGAGAGAGAGAGAGAGAGAGAGAGAGAGAGAGAGAGAGAGAGAGAGAGGCCCAATTCCAATCCACCCCCCCACATATCCGGCCCGCCAGACATTCTCATCCGGTCCGAATGGCGTTGGTGACTGTGGCGTTGGCGGAGTGGTTAGTGCGTTCGCCCCCCCACACATTATTTTTTTTTAAACGTCTCGTGAGTAATGTGCAGTACCGGAGTCCAACAGAGACTCCATCTGACAGGAGGAGCCTCGTTGAGCTGCGAGTGTCACTCCACTGAGTTCACTCCGTCACGGAGGGGGAGTGTGTAGGGCGTGGTTTGGAATTGGGCCAGAGAGTTGTTTGCTGTCTCTATTTGGAATCTTTCCAGGAAACCCAGCCTTGTTTCTTGTAAGTCATGTGACCATAGATCCTCCTCCTGCTCCTCCTCCTCCCTCATTTAAGTATAAAGAGAGACAGCTAAAGTTTTACCGGATGAGTCAGACCGTCTGCCAAAAACCGAGAGAAGAAGAAGAACAGTCAGACCAGTTAACATCAGCAGCTGCTCTCATGGTGGCTTTAACATCTGCGCAACATGCAGGGCTGTTCATGTTCCTGTGGATCATTGGCTCTGTGGCTGCTGGAGGTGAGTGTGTGTGTGTGTGTGTGTGTGTGTGTGTGTGTGTGTGTGTGTGTGTGTGTGTGTGTGTGTGTGTGTGTGTGTGTGTGTGTGTGTGTGTGTGTGTGTGTGTGTGTGTGTGTGTGTGTGTGTGTGTGTGTGTGTGTGTGTGTGTGTGTGTGTGTGTGTGTGTGTGTGTGTGTGTGTGTGTGTGTGTGTGTGGTGTGTGTGTGTGTGTGTGTGGTGTGTGTGTGTGTGTGTGTGTGTGTGTGTGTGTGTGTGTGTGTGTGTGTGTGTGTGTGTGGATTATGAGCACTGAACAGAATAGAGTAGGTGTACACATAGATGATTTTCGATCTTATATTTTATTTAAATGTTAATGTACAAAAAAAGAGTTCGGAATATCTGATTTTAAGAGGAAGAGCGGTTTGAAAAGAGGAAGCACGAACCCTGAAGGCGTTTTCTTCTGAGTAATGAAGGACTCGCTGCACATTATCACAACTATTACACACATAGGCTATGTCATATTAGTGTAATGTTGATTTACAAAATGGATTTTATCTATTTTATGGATTAGCAGTTCATGTTATTAATCTTTCTCCAATAAAAGAAAAGAAAGGAGAACTACATTAAAAGTACCATTTCATATATAATTGCATGTATTTATTCCTCCGTACAGTGTTTACATTCTGTCTTATCTCATTATATTATACATATATATATATATGTATGTTTTCTTATTCCTTCTTGAACTTACACCATTGTCTTAATAATAATAATAACTTGAATGTATAGCGCCTTTCATAACCTCAAGGTCGCTTTACAAAGAAACATATAAGGACAAGAGTAAGACATAAAACATAAAACAGGGGGCAGAAATGGAAGTGTAAGTGGGGGGGAGTGAGTTATTGTTGGAAGGCGATGTTGAACAGATGAGTTTTAAGGGTTGATTTAAAGATGTTGAGAGAAGGGGCGTTGCGGATTTCTGCAGGGAGGGAGTTCCAGAGGGGGTGGGGCAGCGACACTGAAGGCACGGTCCCCGAAGGTGCGGAGGCGTGAATGGGGAATGGAAGGCAGGTCAGAGTCTGAGGATCGAAGGGTGCGGGACGGGGTGTGGAGGAGATCTGTGAGGGACTGAGGGGAGAGGGCATGGAGGGACTTGGAGGTGAGGAGGAGGAGTTTGTAAGTGATGAGGGACTTGACCGGGAGCCAGTGGAGGTTGAAGAGAGTGGGGGTGATGTGCTGCCAGGGCTTGGTGCGTGTGAAAACCCTGGCAGCTGAGTGTCTTCTATTTATTTCTATGTCTTAAATACTTTGTGTCACAGTGTGGAGACTTTAGATGTCATTGTGTATACGACAACAAAGCGTTTTTAGTATTTATTATATGAACTAATTTCTTATTTGCCACGCAATACAATCTGAGGGACTACTTTTCTTGGTGGAAGTGATATACCTCCGCCTCAACCAAAGCAGACACTTTGCGGTTTGAATTGTTAAATGTGTTTTGTACATTTTATAATTTATTTATTTTGACTGATCATTTCTTGTTTACAATTGTTTGCTTCATTGTAAGCTGAAATTAATTACTGTTTCGGGACAAACCGAGTTTTTTTATTATTTTATTTTATTTTACTTCCTGTAAAAGGAAACTCTGTTCTGCTCATGTTAGGAGCGTTGTGATTGGCTGAACTCATTTCTAAATATGGTCATCCTCCACTCCATCAGAGGGTGGGTCCTCTGGTCCAATACAGAATATAAATCAGTGGATAATATTCATAACAAATAATTAATATCTATAAGAATATTAATAACATTATTTTTATAATAATCTCTGAATGATAATACAAAATATAAAATAAATAAATGCAAAATAACAATAATAATAATCTTTATATAAAAATAATAATGACAATTAAAATAATCTCTGTATAATAATACTACCAATACAAAAAGAAATGCACAGCAATTATGACAATAATAATAATAATGTATATATACAAATATGAATAACTATTAAAATAATCTCTGTATAATAATACAAATAATACATATCTATAAGAACATTAATAACATTACTTGTATAATAATCTCGGAATAATAATACAAAATATAACAATAACTAAATGCAAACAATAACAATAATGATATTAATAATAATCTTTATACAACATTATTAATAACAACAATAAATAAATAAATGCATAATAATCATAATGCATAAATAATAGTAACTTACCTTTAACAATAGTCTCTTAAAAATGTAATAATAATAAAACTCCAAATGATCAGTAGTGGCATTTCTAGACTACACACAGGTGTTTGTGATCTTTCGTACACGTTTAACATCCTGTACACTAAATAACCTTTAAGTTGTTCACTTCTGGATGACAACACTAAATACCCTTTGTGTAGTTTAATGTGGACAAACAGTGGGACTGATGGAAAAAGAACTGATCTCAATCAAATTACTGACTTTTGCCTTTATTTTCTAGAGATGCTAAAAAAAAATGCAAAGCTTGGAGAAGACGTCACTCTTCAGTGCAACAGCCCCACAGATGCTGCCATCACACTGTTAGAGTGGAGCAGACCTGAGCTGAAGGATGACTACGTCTTCTACTTCAGAGATAACAGGCTGTATGACAACTACCAGGATCCACGTTATCATGGTCGTGTTGAGCTGAAAGATCCAGAGATGAAGAACGGAGACGCTTCTGTTCTCCTGAAGAACGTTGACATCGATGACACGGGAACGTACGAGTGTCGGGTTATAACTCCCTCCAATAATCGCAGGAAGAGAAACCTGAGAGAGTTTGTGCACTCCATCCATCTGATCGTCTCTGAAGGTGAGTTGGTGTTTCTCATGAAGAGTTCCTCCATTGGCATGTTTAAAGATGATGCTCTGTGATCGGTAGATAATGTCTGACATGAGACTGGAGAGGAAACAGATTCTGTTCTTCATCACCTTCATGATCAGCTGTTCTCCAACATGAGGGGAGGTCCAGTCATTTCCTCACTGCTCTCTGTTTCTGTCCTCAGGTCCTGAGAAGGAAATCAACGATGAACACCATCAGTATGGAGACGCCAACGATGAACCACCAGGGGGTCACGGAGGAGACGTTGGATTGGCAGTTGGTTTGGGACTGGTTTGTCTCATGGTTGGTGTTGGTGTTGGTGTTGGACTTGTTGTGAAATCTAAAAGAGCTCAGCTGAACAGATCATTAGAGAGTGTTGATGTGAAACTGAACCCCAGACATGTCCCAGACCTCTTCACACCTGACTGTCCTCCATCACCTGCTTCTAAACTAAATCATCTCCTCCCTGAATCACTACCTTGTCGCGGTGGAGGGGCTTACAAACCCTCTGAGACACAAACACCTGGTCAGGGTTACACCAAATGTGATTCCATTTCTAACTTCAGTCTGAGAGAGTCCAGAAATATTATCCTTAAGTGATCAGCCAATCAGAAGGATTGACTTTGCTGCCGAACATGTATGATCGCCAGTGAAGCCTGTCTTTCAGACACAGCGCTAACAACATGACGTCTGATCTGGTCTTTGTGTGTCAGAGCCTGGAAGTAGTAGTTACATAAAAAAAGAAGATAAAAATATCTGATACAGTGATTCATGGTGAGGGGTTTATTTAAATATCAGCAGGTCAATTTAAATCTTAAACTCGGTGTAAAGAGGTCTTAAACTGTGTATCTATCGTGTCGGTGATACATTTCACGTGTGCTTTGTTTACTTACAGCTCCTGAAATATAGTCTGCTTCAGGTTTAAGTATGTGCAGCTAATATCTCCAGTATATCTCTACTATACTAAATACACTTTAAAATATGCATCAGGGAAATGTCTGGTTAATGTGAAAATGATTGTTTTGAATACGACTTTAAAATGTTTATGTATTTTCTAATAAGTAGATTTACATGAAATGTGAAATAATGAAATCAAACCAAACACCTGTTTAACATGAAAGTGCTAACGGGTTAAAAACTATACTAAAGAAGTCGATAAGAATTAAATTCAGTGTTCAATAATTGAAGTTGAATCAGAGCATTCACAGATAATGAATTAAATAAATGTCAGATGATAATAAATTGCACCAACCTTTGAGAACAGACAATGAATCAAACACAGCTTGCTCTGAACTGTGTCATGTATTTCAGTATATGTTGTATTTACTTTAGTATACTGAAGTTCTAGTTGTATATATAATTTGTTCTTATTTTCATATCTCAAGATTAAAACTGTAAACACCTTGTATTCTGTCTGAAATGTACTTTGTAGACATGTTATTGAGTACCCCCCCCCCCCCCCCTCCTCATGTAGGTCTGCAGTGGAGGTGAAGCTGAAAGTATTTAGTTTCTGTTTGACAAAGGGAGACTCGACTCGTGATGTCTTAATGAGACATTTCTATTTTATACGTTCTATATTACTCAAACAGCCAATAATAAAGGTTTCAAAGGTCAGCGTAAGTACTATTTTGACTTGAGTATGTCCTCAGTCTGCTACTTCATACTTCTACTGCATGTGAAGGCTCTGACTGCTCACTTTTTACTTCACTATATTTATTTGACACCCTCTTACATATAACAACCTGCGCTATGCTGATGACGCAGTTCTGTACATCAGATATACATGAACACAGGATATTAATATTCTATAATACTGAATCAAGATACTTTGAGTACATGTTACTGATAGCATGTTCTACTTGAGTAACATTTCTCCTGCAGGACTTTCTCTTGATGGAGTGTTTTCAGTCTGTAGTGTTTCTACTTTTACTGAAGAGTTCTTTTCCCTCTCTGTTTTTTGGGAGATAAACGAGGCTTTCTGGTTTCTTCAGTTTCCTTTGTGACTGAGAGCTGAAGCTGTGGGAGAGAACGACACTCAACGAGGAGTGAGAGGCAGACAGCGTGACGAACATTTAAGTATCTGTGAGCGTCATCTGGTTATCTTTAAGTAGCAGGTGGAGCTCAGACTGCTCTCTGGTTATAATGACGTGTCTAACCACGACTTTAACCCTTCAGCTGAACTTTGACATTATTTATCCAGAAGAAGAACAACAGGCTCAATTATTTAACATCTTCTAAACCATGAAAACAGTTTCAGTAAATATAAAAGTAAAACGTAGTATAATATTTAAAAGATATTAGAAATATAATATGTTTTATTCATCTGCTGATTTTTTTCTTAATTGTTTTTATTTGTACAGAACATACAATACAAATACACATTTTAAGAAATAACAATATTAACAATTTTCTAAATAAATATAAATTCACTAAACATAACTTTATTGATATAACACTGAAACATGTCTTCAACCATAAACTGTTTTTATTACAAAAGAAAATCTTTATTTTAACTCATTTCAAACTTTATTTGGGATTCTCTGCTTTTCCCCCGATAACTGATGGATTGCAAAAAGAGAGAAATTATTACTCTTGGTGCTTTTAAAAAAAAAAAATGTTAATGTTAACGTGATTCAAAGGGAAAATAAATGCCTTTCAGTTCTCAAGTGACTCACAGTTACTGACGGTTTATATGGGAACACAACGCCTCTCATGTGACGGAAACCCCCGTCACTTTACCCAGCAGCAGTCATTTCCTGTTCCTGTTTTAGAGTCATGTTGAGTTTCATAAGCTTTTAAAGGCTTCATAGCAGAACTCTACTTCAGTACCATCTGAGGTACTTCTGTGTACATCCCACAGCATTTAAGAGTGAAATACTGTGCTTTGTACTCCTCTATATCCATCTGGCAGCTTCACTAATCCTTATTCCTGCACAGAAACTACAGGAAAATGTGACTATAGGGCAGTTTGTGAAGTTTTGAAGTCATTCATCAAAACAAAGAGAATTGTCTGCTTCTCCTTTAGACGTGTGCTATCTGAGTAGAGTTAATGATCTGTGTACTTCCAGCACCCGGAGCATTAGGGCGTTTCCTGACAAACAGCCTCTGCAGCCTGCTCTGAACTCTACTAACAACCAGAGGAGATTCAATCATGCTGGCGCCTGTTTTCCAGTCTGGACCTGCCTCTGATACACGAGAGCATCTGGCAGCTTCACAAATCCTGATTCCTGCAAAGAAACTACAGGATAATGTGACTATAGGGCAGTTTCTGAAGTTTTGAAGACATTTTACATCCAAACAAACATATTTAGCTGCTTCACCTTCAGACGTGTGCTATCTGAGTAGAGTTAAGGATCTGTGTACTCCCCCCACCCGGAGCATTAGAGCGTTTCCTGACAAACAGCCTCTGCAGCCTGCTCTGAACTCTACTAACCGCCAGAGGAAATTCAATCATCAGGCGCCTGTTTTCCAGTCCTGCCTCTGATACATGAGAGCACTGAGAGGGGGAGGGTATGCACCGTGGCACATTTCTGTGAGAGTCTTTGTGTGGTGAACAATCTGCTTTTTATGTCAACAACACGCCAGCTGCTCTCAACAAGGCGCTGATATCTGTCTTTGTTCAGGCCTAACAACACACTGAGTCTCTCAGGAGTAAATCTCCTCTGGACCTCTGTCACATGACTCATTACCACAGAACTACATCTCAGACTTCTTCTCTTTATGTTAAAGACGTATTCATTCCTCATGAGATCCTCCATGTCTCGCTTTGTTTCGTCTCTGAATCTAAGGCCCTGAGGAATCTGGAAGTTACCAGTAGCTTCTGAGTCACATGACTCTTTACCAAAGAATTACAGTCAGAGGTGGGAAGTAGTGGAGTACAAATACTTTGTTTTAAGTACATTTTTCTGGTATCAGTACTTTACTTATTTTTCTGATGACTTTTTACTTTGACTTCTTACATTTTGAACCCAAATACCTGTACTTTCTACTTCTTACATTTTAACACAAATACCTGTACTTTCTACTTCTTACATTTTAACACAAATACCTGTACTTTCTACTTCTTACATGTTGAACACAAATACCTGTACTTTCTACTTCTTACATGTTGAACACAAATACCTGTACTTTCTACTTCTTACATGTTGAACACAAATACCTGTACTTTCTACTTCTTACATGTTGAACACAAATACCTGTACTTTCTACTTCTTACATGTTGAACTCAAATACCTGTACTTTCTACTTCTTACATGTTGAACACAAATACCTGTACTTTCTACTTCTCACATGTTGAACACAAATACCTGTACTTTCTACTTCTTACATGTTGAACCCAAATACCTGTACTTTCTACTTCTTACATGTTGAACACAAATACCTGTACTTTCTACTTCTTACATGTTGAACACAAATACCTGTACTTTCTACTTCTTACATGTTGAACACAAATACCTGTACTTTCTACTTCTCACATGTTGAACTCAAATACCTGTACTTTCTACTTCTTACATGTTGAACACAAATACCTGTACTTTCTACTTCTCACATGTTGAACACAAATACCTGTACTTTCTACTTCTTACATGTTGAACACAAATACCTGTACTTTCTACTTCTCACATGTTGAACTCAAATACCTGTACTTTCTACTTCTTACATGTTGAACACAAATACCTGTACTTTCTACTTCTCACATGTTGAACACAAATACCTGTACTTTCTACTTCTCACATGTTGAACACAAATACCTGTACTTCTACTTCTTACATGTTGAACCCAAATACCTGTACTTTCTACTTCTTACATGTTGAACACAAATACCTGTACTTTCTACTTCTTACATGTTGAACACAAATACCTGTACTTTCTACTTCTTACATGTTGAACACAAATACCTGTACTTTCTACTTCTCACATGTTGAACCCAAATACCTGTACTTTCTACTTCTCACATGTTGAACCCAAATACCTGTACTTTCTACTTCTTACATGTTGAACTCAAATACCTGTACTTTCTACTTCTTACATGTTGAACACAAATACCTGTACTTTCTACTTCTTACATGTTGAACCCAAATACCTGTACTTTCTACTTCTTACATGTTGAACCCAAATACCTGTACTTTCTACTTCTTACATGTTGAACACAAATACCTGTACTTTCTACTTCTCACATGTTGAACCCAAATACCTGTACTTTCTACTTCTTACATGTTGAACCCAAATACCTGTACTTTCTACTTCTTACATGTTGAACCCAAATACCTGTACTTTCTACTTCTTACATGTTGAACTCAAATACCTGTACTTTCTACTTCTCACATGTTGAACTCAAATACCTGTACTTTCTACTTCTCACATTTCCCAAACAGGCTGGTTCCTTTAGTTTGAATGTGTGTTTGGTGGCGTGATCATTATTATTTAGAGTCATTGCGTGCCTATTGATTTGAACACGATCCATGTATCCATCATTTCCTGGTCTTCTCTAAAGAAGAGGGACCAATGAAAACGTTGTCATGTTGCCGTTGTTCAGCATGGAAACATTCATTAGCTAACAATGACATTATTGTTCTATTAATATAAAGGGAGGTCAGGTACTCTTTAAAACAGCTGCTAGTTATGGGTACTTTTTACTGAAGTACATTTCAAAGCCCTCTTTACTTTTACTTGAGTAAAGAAGTTTAGTCAGTACTTTTAAACACGAGTATCTGTACTTCTACTTGAGTAAAGGATGTGTGTACTTTAGCCATCTCTCTGGTTACATCACAGACTTCTACTCTTAATATTAATGACCGTATTCATTCCTCATGAGATCCTCCAGGTCTCAGTAACGCAGCGTCCACACGGCAGCGTGCGTTGAAGCTTGCCGGCGGGCGTGTCTGAAACTCGACCAACAACCAATCACATGAATCTCCCGCCCCAGACACACAAGCACGCGGTTTGATTGGCTAGAGCATGTACTGGCATATGATTTGATTGGCTGACGCTTCCGTCGAAGCTTCAAAAGTTGAACATTGCTCAACTTTTGAAGCGAGCAACGAGAGCAAAGCGAAGCAACGCTCCCACAATGCAGTTCGGCGAAGCGTGACGTCACCCCATTCAAAGTGAATGGGCAGAAGCGTTGAAGCTTCAACGCACGCCGCCGTGTGGACGGGCCGTAAGCGTTGTTTCGTCTCTGAATCGATCGCCCTGATGACGCTGGGACTGATCATTAGTTTCTGAGTCAGGACGCTCTGAGTCCTGACACGGTGTACACATGTTAGGACACATCAATACTCAGGCAGTATTCTGGATCATCAGTGAGAGGATGACCTCTCGTTACACAACGTTTTACTGACAGAGAAGTCACAGGTTCAATCCCTATCAATGTGTCCAAAGAGAAAACACTGAACTCATAACAACACA